ATTAATTACGCAACTGCGCGGGATTTTTCACTTGGAGAGAAAATCACTAATAACGGCGGAGATGGGTGCATTCAATCCTCTGCTACCAAACAGCACAAACGAATTCATTCAAGAACTTATCAAGACATTCGAGTCGCATAATTTCTCTGTCAAGATAGCCACTTTGAATTGCAATGAATTGAGAATTGAATAGCATAATAGTTGGAATAAATAATTTACTCGTAATATCAATAGTTAAATATAAACAACAAATAATTCATATTAAGAACATACATTGTGAAGAAAAATAGAATTTTATATAATAATTCTGCGCGCGTTAACGGATCAAATATATAAGCTGTATTCTAAAGACTTAGGACGCTCGTACGGAATACAAAAGATCCCGGTTCGACTCCTGGCCGAGGTAATATTTTTCGCAATAAATTTATTTACAGCTTTTCAATACATTAACATCTTTCTAATAAAATCCTAGATTGAGCAACAAATTATTAAATTGTTTATTAATTTAATTTGTGATATTACTATAGTAGTTTGATTGCATTTACAAGTTCAATCATTTCGGTGCGCAATTTAAATAAATATTGTATATATTTAGTATATAAATTTACATAGAAATTACTTAAAAATATTAAAAATATTAAACCAGTTTTCGGTATAGGCTTCTAGTTTATCGATTGTGTTCTCATGTACGGTCTAAAATATCATTCTTATTGTACATAAATAGTAATTATATTTGTATATTATGTTCTAATTGTTTGGGTGGTTTGAATTTATTAAACTAAATTGTCCTTAAACAGGAGAAATCCTTTCTTGTTGTAAACATTATAAATGTTTATAACTCTGCTCTGAAAATATTATTCTTAGTTCTACATATACTCAGGAAGACGGCGGATCAATCTGAAAATTGATCATTTCTAATTGCTTAATTTTAGTTATCATCTTCGATTTGTGTGTATCAAGACAAGACTCTGACTATTAAAGTAATATTTGACGTTAAAAGTAATATTCTAATATTATTTTTATATATATATATACTCTAACGTTTTCAATTTCAATAATGAAGAATATGTAATCCAGAATTATACGTACAAGAAGTGAAGATATATAGCGTTGTCTTGCTGATACCAAAAGGATAAACCGAGAAATTGATCTGATTGTGAGTTGAACCTTATTGGATTTTTTCCACGCATGAATCGCAGAGGATTGACAATAAATTGGTAATGAATACATTTATCGCAGTTAGCGTTTCATTAATTGATGTACAATAACAGTATATATATATAGAGAATATGTATTAAGTTATACTAGTGGACGATTTTTCTTTGATAAATAGAATTCATATTTACAGGATTAACGGATTTTGTGTCTGACTTTTTACGATCAATCAATCGACATTACGCCTGTTCTTCGGATAATAAATAAATTTTTCGTCGTGAAAGTCATGTATAAGTTTAGCTTATCCACACCGGGCACGATGCTTTTATGCGAAGAACATAACAACAGTTGTGTAGCAGCCGCCTTAGATATGCGTACTGTAGTTACATTCTCATCGTTTCTTCCAGCAGATGGCAGAAATTTCATCGAAATAAATTTCTCCAGTATCCAGTTACATGTGAAAATACCTTTAAACCAATATTATAAAAGCTTCTCTAAGGAAAATGACGTGAAAATACCTTTAAAGCAATACATCAAAAGCTTGTCTAAAAATCGCGGTTTCGTATTTCTTCCTGCTATATTGCATGAAAAAGTAAAAAATTTTATCACTTCCATGACGGACTATGACGGCATATACGAACCCAACAATCAAGCTCATAAATTAAGCTTAGAAGCTTTCTTTTTTCTTCTCGCTAGTATTAGCATCCAAAAAGAGATCATTATAAAATCATCTTTCATTGTGGAACTTTCATCGAAATTACCGATTGGTGAGGGTCTGGGCAGTTCATCTTCGTTTGTAGTATGTTTAACGGCATGTTTTTTGCGTTGGTATCTCCTGGAGAAACGAAAGTTCCGCGACACATTTAAGTCTAAAGATCTCCAACATATCATGAAATATGCTAACGATTGTGAAAAATTTGTATATAATTCTTCAAATATAATTGACATCGTAATATCTACGTATGGCATGATAAAAGTATTCGAAGAAAAATCGCAGATATACAATTTTTTTGACATATCAAGCATGAAGATTCTACTGGTTTCTTCGAATGTCAGCCAGTCAATTGAGCAAAGCAATGGAAATGAAAGTGAAAGAGCCAGTCAATTGAGCAAAACAATGGAAATGAAAGTGAAAGAGCATTTACCTTGTTTCATTGATTTTGTTTTAAATAGTATGGAGACTATATCGAAAACATTTATTCGAACGCTTCGGAGGATTGACGAAAAAACGTATTCCTTAAAACAGATGGGGATCGTTGAAATTAATTCAATTCATCTGATAAACTATTATAAAAAATTAATGGTAAGTCTCATTCTACGAATTTTGATATAATTTAATTAATACACTTGCTTGAAACTGTCTCTTACAGTCATCGTGATTGTTTTTCCCATACATAGCTATACGTTGATAATTTTAAACATATTCTAACGTACTTTGTAGGATCTCATTCACATAAATCAGGGATTACTAAGAGCATTAGGCACATCACATCCAAACCTAGATATTATTTGCACAATTGCGCGGGATTTTTCACTTGGAGGAAAAATTGCCACCAGAAGCGGAGGTAAATACGCATTCATTTTGTTGCTACCAAATAGCTCAGATGAATTAATCCAAGATCTGATTAAGATTTTTGAGTCACATAATTTCCCTGCCAAGATAGTCAGTGTGAATTGTAGCGGAGTAAGATTTGAATAACATGTTGAAATCAATAATTAGTATGAGTAGTTGAACAATGAATAGAAAAAGCTCATACTAAGAATTTATAACGCATGTTATGTTAAGAAAAATTCTGTATAATACATTTTATATGCATCAATGGACAAGTATAAAAATACACATTTATTGAGTTAGATAAAATAACAGAATATTGACAAAATAATGTAAGATATTTGCTTCTAAAAATATGTAATAAATATTAATTTTATATATATATATATAATAAAAAAAATATATATATATAAAACATAAAATAAAATATGAAATAAAA